GAAGCAATTCCAAAGCCAGAGGGGTATAAAGCAATGGAGCATTACCTTTGGAAGAAGGATGAGAAAGACTCTTGCACTACCGAGGTGGTGGCTGGTGCTGTCATCAGGCTGGCTGTGTTTGGGGCAGCAGCAGCAGGCTGAGGTGCTGAAGCATGTGGTGCAGGAGCAGCAGAACTGGGAGCCACTGGGGCATGCTCAACAGGGGTACTAATTAGAGTTAAATTAAATAAAACAAGAAGCATCTTAAGAAGGCGCACATTTACATGGAGAGCATAAAACCTACTATGTTTGAACCTGCAGCTGCAAACATAGTAGCACGCTGGGTTACTGAGGGAAAAGCACAATTATGCAAAGAAAAGAAAGCCATTTGTTCGGCCTTTCACTGTGCAGTTCAGACTGCAATGCAGTGTTGGTCCTGTTTGACTGAAATTTACCCCAGGTGTTAAATGGCACTTCAGTCCTGCTCCCACTGATGCCAGTGGTAGGAAATGTGGCACCAAGGACTGAAATGGCTGTGAAGAGCCTGTCACAGTCTTGTCAGCTCCTATAAATTCCATCAAATATATTGAAATGAATGATACTAATCTAATCTTGTATCCTGTGACCATTTAAGTAGCCTGTTGAACTACTAATGTCTTCCCTCACCTCCTTCAAATTTGAGAATTACTCATCTCTTACAGACAGAAAAATGGAGCAAAGTTAGCAGGTTTTTTTTAAAATCAGAGCATCACTGTACATAGCTGTCATGTCCATGAGCAGTGGCCTAGAAACATAATGGATATATGTCTACTTCTTTAGACCTATGTCATAAGTATATTGTAACAGCTCTGTGTTCTTACAAATTACTCCTATCACCTATTACACCCTACATCCTAGGGTGATGGAATTCAGCGATTCTCTTGCTCAAGGTACAAATGCCCAAAATGCTCCCTCCTGAGCACAGCCAGTATCAAATAACAAAATAAATCTTACAGTTCCACAGCTGTTTTTTCAGCTAACCTTAGCCCTCCAACACTCTCTCTCTCAGTTTTTTTTCCTAAGCAGATTTACCATTCATTGTGCAAATTATCTCATATTTTCTTTTGCTTCTCTCAGAAGCACTGATTTGAGAAGTTATACTCCTAAGGACCTAGAACAGGTGCTTGGTACTTCTGAATTTGTGATACCCCTTGTTCTCTAAGGGACTGTCCTGTTTCCCCTGTCCTTCACCTCCTCTTCTAGAGTTCAGTAGTCTACATGATGGTGTCTTAATTCAGCTGAATATTTTGTTGGATTAGCTGAAACAGAAGCTGGTTGTTATACCCACAAACCTCAAAGCTGAATGCAGCCCACAACAGAAGCAGGAAATTGATATTTTCTCCCTTATGGAGATGGATCTACAATTATGTACATAATAAGTAAGTTTCTGAAAATAATCATCCCGTTTGCAATTCTGGATTTCAAATCCTTACACCAAGTTTTGCAACAGTTTTGCAGAAGTTCTTCCATTGTAATATGCATTTGAGAGTCAGATGACTTCTTCCATCCTGATGCATTTCATGATGTAAATTCTTCCAATTAACTAGTACACTATCAATTTCACAGCCTATGTAGCAGAGTGGCTGTGTATTATCCATCACTGCTAATCTAGTACTGAATTTCAATACTGTGAAATTTTCCCTTTGCCACAGAGGGTACCAGAATTACCCCATTAAAAGCTGTGGAGTCACAGTTTCCATCTTACATATATTTACATATCTTTGATTTGGCAAACAGGAAAGGATTGAAACTATGCTGCACATAAAAATGGAACTTAATGTGTGTGTTAAAAACAAACACAAACTAGGATTTCACCTCTTTAATCTATTTGCACTGATGAGAAAGGGAATTTGCTAGAGATTTCAAAAGATTCAAGACTTCATACCCTGAAGATAACAGGGAACATAATTAATTGTAACTCAATTGTAACAATCTCTAAAATAATCAAAATACATATTCAGTGATAAATATTGAAAAGAAATAAAAAAAACCAACCCAATCTGTATGTGTGGACATGGACCTGTGTGCAGACAGATTTGAACAGAACAAACCCATATAAATAAAATAAATGCAAATATACTTGAATACCTTTTAAAGTTTAAAAGAAATACAAACAAATTTTATCTTGCATAGTGTTTGTGATATTTCTTTCTATGTAATTAAAATGTTAGAGGCTTCCTTACCTTCCTTCATGGTAGAATATATTAATTATCAGAACAAGGAATTGGAATAAATGTAAGTGAAGCGGATATAACCATAAAAATCAGAGTAGTTTGGTTACAAAAATTATACACATCCATGAGAGCGTTCTCAAAACAGTTTTATAGAAAGAGCTCAAGACTAACTTGACTGGTTTTAATTGAGCAACTATAAATTTTACATTATTTTATTTATATTGTCAAATACAATAGCTGAACTGGGTTGTTTTCCTCCTCCTTTCTAGTTTTTCAATCTGATTTTTTTGTTTTAGTTCTTCAAGTGCAGAAGAATTTTAAGAATTTATAAATGTGAGTGCTGCTTTATAAAATAAATCATCTATTTCAACAGCTTAATTCTGACATGTTTCAGAGGGGTTTTTGTTTGGTTGGTTGGTTTTTAAATACAATAGTTTTGTAGACTTTAAATCCGTACAGTACTTTGTATTTTAAAAGAAATTGAAAAAAATCAAACATCTTCATATTTGCCATAACAAACATAAAAGTAAGTTAGGTGGATGAAAACAAACACACATCTCTTCTCAGCTGATTTTCACTCATGAAAAGGAACACAGATCAGTAGAGGTTAAGAGGATAATAACGGTTAACAACCATAATGAGAACACAGCAACAAATTCACTCTAACATTTAAAATATAAGTATAGATTATATTTTTTTCCCTTGGTGAAGTCCTAAGTTCTGAGACTTTCTATCCAAATAACAAGGAGTGGATGATTAAAACAGCACTTAGTCTCCTTTATGCAATGCATGAAGGTTTTTGTGTTTCTAATCCAAAAGATGACATGCGAAGATAAAAAATATAGAGAACAAAAACTAAAAGGGATATGAAAAAAATCTGTTATTGGATCATTTGTAGGAAAAAAGTGCTGGAGAAAAATTATTTAGAGAAAGCTGTATCGTGGAAGGATGTTATATTTGAATACGAGAACGTTTGTGGAAAATACAGACATATGAGCTGCTGTTTCTCTGCTGTAGATGCTTAATGACTTGTCTCTGTATTGTAGGTGTGATCCTACAAGAGCGACTGAAAATGTAACACCCACATGAACCAGAAGCTGCTGGGATTGGAAGAACTTGAATGTCTGCCTTGAGGCAATGGGCATTTCCATCTGAAGGAGTTAGAGGTTGTTATGACCAAACCATTGCAAAGCTCCAAACCGGGTCAGTTATGCAGTTACACGGCACAGTGTACCTTTGGTTACTGGATGAAGCAAGAGGGGCTTTCTGGCCAAAACTGGCCTCCCTCTGGCTTGTACCCGCTCCAAGCCTCACAGACCCCTTGGAGGCCACTGGCTGAGCATTGGCAGTGTTGGCATCCCTGGTGGATGACTTAGGAGGATGCCAAATACTCGAGGTCACATACTGGGGCGCATGCGCGGTACCTGCAGGCCTGGGTAACAGAGATTACAGGGTGTTTGTGAATGAGGCATTCCCTAGGTAATAGCAGGGGCTTGAGGAAGAGACAGAACTCCAGCCACAGATGGAGCTGGAGATCATAATGACCATGCAGATGAAGTAATGCTTAATCTTGACAGTTATTACAGCTTAAGACCAGGAAAGGCTTGACAAATTAAAAAAGGTACCTTGTGTTAAATTTGGAAATCATATTGCTATGAATATCAAAATAAGGAGAGCTGTGATGGTAATGGAGGTGGAGAAAGGCTTGGTATGACAGATCACACAAGATTAAGGCAACATAGGAGGACAATAACACCAGTCATATATCAGAAATTGTTCCTGGTAAAATAAAACAATAGTTAAAAGAAAAGGAGATTTCAGTGAAGCAGCTGCATGGTCCTATAGATGGTTTTACACAAATGAAATTGCTGGTGAAATTCTAACATGTGTTGCTTGTTCTTTACTATTTAATTTATATTCAGGAATCAAGGGGGTTATTTCCTTCATTTTTAATCACTAATTTAAAAATAAAAATCAATTTTCACAACTTTTCAAGTGCCAGTTGCCATTGCTTGTGTCATTATTAACAAATAATGCTTGCACTCAGATATTAACTCTATGCAACCTTTGTTCAAACATAAGCAGCCTTTAAAAAACTCCAAAAAAATAGTCTAAAAATATTTTTTTTAAAAAATAAGAAATGGTTGCATATCACTGAGGCAGGAGTCAACAACAAAGAGAAAAGCAGTAGGATAAAATTCTTTTCATGACTAAACAGTTAAGAGGCCTTTCTTTGCTCCATGAAACAACTGGTCAGATTCACTCAAGAAATTCTTGTGTATCAGTATTTGATAGTTTAATAAGTGAAATAATAGAAAAAACATATTTCTATACTTTGCCACAAAATATTCTGAGATCGTTTGGGAGAAAACAACTTGACATGAAAGAACTTACAGAGAGACTGTTTTGAACCTCATAACCCTTTGAGCATCAATCAAGATCTGACATAAATGCTCTTAAAATGATAATCTCATTTAAATTTTAAAAACATCTTGAACAGTCTAGACAAAGTTTAAAATGGAAATTGTTCTTAAAACTCCATCACAAACTGACACTAGCTCATTTCAAGAATATTTGATTTAAAACTTCTTATTTTTCAGGTTTATAAGTTCTGAGAAACACAATCCCCATCTGTTCCACATCACAGTGCATGAGAAAGAAATGTCTAGTGAACCCATTTAACTGAAGCCTCTACTTTCATCATCTGCTCAAGCACTGTACAAATTTAATGTTTTTGACATAAGAAAAATATGGAGAAAGTGGAGATACACTCTTAACAGGAAGTAAATCAAACACAGCAAACATTACCTGTTTTCTGATGCTGCTGCAACGTTTTCCTTGTCTCTGTGAAAGGAGGGGACACGGTATGAAATAAATGCAATTGCCAGTGATGGCAAAAATCCCCCACCCAAAACAACCAGGGAAAAAGAACCGGAGAAATGTTTGGTTGCAAAAAGCATCCTAGAGTGGTTGCTGTGAAACTGTGAGAAACCTCTTCAGTTTTCCAGGTGAAACCACCAGATATACTAGTTTTCTGTATGCTTATCAGTTGCAAACAACTTTGTTTCAATAATAAAGTAAAAGGAAAATCAACAGTTACAATGAGATATTGTATGCGTGTATACAATTTCAGGGCTAGTTTTGACTTAATAAGTTCCCTTTTAAAAAATAATTCAGCAATGTTCCAGCAGAACATACTTAGATGCCAAATCCAAGCAGTAAAAATAATCAGTTTGGCTGTCCTCATGGACCCGATATTTTGAAGTGATAAGCAGTTAAATGGTTAACAAAGACTTGCACAAAAGGGATTTCTTATGCCTGGCATCACTTAAAAATTCTCTCCCCTATCCAAATACTAATTTTCTCAACATAAATTGGATTAGAAACAATTTCTTCAACTGGAAATCATTCCTTCGTTGAGATGAGGATTAAGTCAGCCTCAGCCTCACTGATAGAGAACGGGGCTGTTATTCTGTAAACACACATACACACTTAAAAAATAACTGATCTGTTAAACACAAGCAATTGTTTTATCTGTAAGAAGTTAAGACACAAGTATTTTCATAAAGAATAGAATCCATTAGCCTTAAACACCTAAATTTGAAATCCAGTTAGTTAAGTAATTGAGATAGTCTCACTATTTAGCAATTTAATGGATGATTGCATCCCTACCTATTTAAGGAATTGTGCTGAAATTTCAGCAGGTTAAAAGCTGAAATATGCCAAATGAGAACATTTCTCTTAAGTGGGATGTAAAATTACAAACCACAAAGCAAATGTCCTCATTTACCCAACTGAACATTCCTTCTGAAGCATCCTTTGAAAACAAAAAAGGAATACATGCACTTCTTTATATGGATTTTCTGGGCTCCAGTCATTAACTTATGTTTGGAAGGCTATTCTTAATATTTATCACATTATTATCAGTATTGTGTTAATGTGCTTACACATTTACATATGTGTAGAGTTACATATTCTTTCCTTAGTTCAGTTCCAATAATGTTATAAAAACCAATCCAATTAAGATCAGCAAGGGCTTGGCCATAGGTGTTCTCCGTGAATTTTTAAAACCTCTAATTAAAATGTAGCCCTAAAAGATATGAATTGAAGCCACATTTTGAAACCCAGAAATTGACCTGAAATGCCTCTCAGATGCGTCTGTCTGACTAAGATGCTCCTGTGGTCAGAAGAGCCTGCCTTGAACAGAAATCCCCAAGGAGGTTGATGGCTCACCACTCTGAAGCAATGAGAAACCAAACACTGTCTTTATGGTAACCAAGCTGTGAGTTCACTGCAACAGCAGCTATGAAACAAGGTGCAGGAGGATGGATTAGAGACTGTGCAGGTGTGGCAAGTGTTAATTTACCAAGTCATAATCATGCAACAATGTTAAAGAACACAGTCAGGGCCTGGAAACAAAATTATTTATCTCCAGTGTTGCCAAATGCTCTATGAGAAATTACAGCCAAGACCAGAGGCAGGCAGTTGGGGTCAGGCTGGAGCAGTGCTAAGCCTCTGTTGTTACAATTAATCCGATCCTAACTTTTCTGCTCCAATAGCTGTGGCTACACCGAACGAGGCAAAAAAAAAGTTGCTTGACTCAAGGTCACTTTGAGGTCGGGATTTCACAAGAGTTTTTCCCCCAAGTGTACAGTATTGGATAACGTTGTGAAGGTTAAAAAGAAACAGAAAAGTATAGTAAAAACACTTTTACTGAATAAAATCAAGGAAAAGGCAGAGAGTAAAGGGAAAGATTAGTTCAAAGGGACACAACACTTCTTCATGGTTTTGCTTCCAGGAACTATTTCTATTGCCAGTCAATAGAGTAATTCCCATTTGTCTACCAAGAAGAAAGGCTCAAGATCAGATGTGCCTCTGACTAGCAATACTTGCATTTTAAGGAATCAGCTATTGGATTTCTGGCCTTTACAATCAAAACATGTTTTGCTAACTAAATGCAGAAATAACTTTACTTTTGAGACAAATACATCCCTCAGGCAGGCTCAGTAAAGTCAATACCTTCACAACATGAAAGAATTTGGCTCCGAATATTATGAGCTGTTTGTATCTCTGTCTACACAGGCTGCTGCAATAACTGACAGTAGTGGATAATAGTTTTGAGCTATCTGGGAGAGATTTTAAATTACTGCGGGGGATTTTTTTTGTCTGCAGTTGTTTTTAGACCCCACCGAAATGGCTTTTGATAGAAGGGCCTCAGTCAATGACTGTTCTGAGATAACAGTGCAACTCCCACAGATTTCATTAAATGTTGGACCTGTATTTCAAACAAGACTTATTTATGCAATATACCGTCTTCCCAATTACATAGTATATTATACATTGGAAATCATGAAATGTTTTCTCTCATAAAATATCCTACATGATATGGTGCTAAAGCCAGAGTGAAATTATAGAAATAGTCTTTCCCTCCCACACACCAACAAGAATTACAATAGTTTGAGTAACAGAAGGCAAAATTCATTTGCAAGCCAAGCTCGTATGTGCTATTGGACCCTAAGAATAGTCTGGAGAATCTTCAGAGAGTTCTCAATCAATGAATATATTAAATCTGAACTGTATGTACTGGACATTGGAATGCTTTCCCATTCTACTTTACTTTTGGGAACCAAATGCAAAAGATTCCCAAATGTGCATATGTAGCAGGAAAGCTGAAATGTGGTGCATCTTCCATCCACCTTCTTAGATAGCAACAGATCCAGACTCTCTCTTGAAAAGCTCTGGTCTATCCCATATAGACAGAATGTGGAGACAGAATCATATGATGTGTAAGGAAGGCAACATAAGAAACGTGAGGTGTCCCAAGGGACCACATGGTCCTTCAACTCTTTCAGTACTGAAGCAAAAAGTGAATATTCTAATTGAGTTTTTCTCTCTCCTCTCGTGGAGCAAGACTGTCTTTCTAATTTTACAAAAGAGAGATTAAAAATAGATTTGTTCATGGTCTAAAAGAAATTCCACATCAGTGTAAAGAACTGAAATAAACTCTCCCAAATCCAGTGAGTATTTAAAATATCCAGTTCACCCTCTTTAATGAGGTATTATAGATTTTTAAATAACTATATCTGTTAAGTCTATCAGTATTTTTCTGTATTGAGAATCCAGGAGTCTTCTGCCAGGTCTGATAGATATACAATAGTTTTTTTTCAAAGGGGAAATAGACCTACAGATGATTAAGGTTTATATTTATTGAAATTAAAAATTCTGTTTTTCTAATAGTATAGTGTGGATTTGCAGGATTAGTCAGACTTACAATAACTTTCATCCTAGCATGTATTGATATTTATATAAACATATTTGCCAACAAATAAAATTTTCTTTTAAGAAGCAGAACTAACAAAGTAATTTTAAAGAAATTCTTATGGGGTGTCTGGGAGTAAAGTTGTGTGAAAGCTATTCTGTAATTGCCTTCCAAAGACTTTTTTGTCTTGAAGGCATGAGACACTGACACTGTTGGAAACTGGACACTGAGCTGGATTAGCTGCTGTTCTGATGCAGTGAGGCTATTTCTACCTTTCTGTATTTGCAGCTGAGGATTTTTCCATGGTCAGATGACAATTGAGGTCGCTTGCTTTTTTTCCCCCCATGCTATGTTTCTGTTATTTTAATGAAGACACCAGAAGACAAACAAAGAAATGACAGGCAGTTAACTGGAGAGGACAGAAGATGACTATCATGCTGGTTTAGTTAACACTTCAGCTTGGGATCACAAAAGGGGTAGAAGAGCTAGTCTCTCTTTTTCAGCCACTGTAGTTAAGAATGTGAGCAGCCCACGCCAAAACAATTGCAGTATATCCTACTATATCTGCTTTCCAAAACAGGGAAATAATTTTCTCACGGGGGTATCCTGGTTTGTGCAGACAGTGCCACAGAATAGGAAAAGCATTATCATAGATTCAGTGGAAAACAACCAGCAGCTCATTCTCAAGTGATAGTATGGAACTCAACCAAAGCAGCTCACTAAAATCCAAGCCAATCCCTCCTATGAATGCATTTTAGTGGCATTTACAGAGTTGCTGTTAAATTTAACAGTCACAGAAAAAATGCAGCTGGACATACAGCAGTGTTGGGGAAAGTTAAGGTAACTCTTGCCCAAGGTTTACATTGTGATATTTGGCAGATGAACTCCAATTTTAAATTTTATCTTATTGTAAAGACATCACTTTAATAAGAAAAAAGACTGCAAAATTCTGAGCATGTGTAGCAATTGAAGCTGCGATTTAATTCAGATAATTATTCCCTGTCTTGGCCTTAAGTGTGCAATTCAATTTAATTGTCTGTTTCTCTGTAGCTTTCTATAGCCCCACTGTAAAGTGCAGGGATCTGCCACCAGGCACTTGAGCATAGGATCCGAACTCTCAGTCTGTGTTTGTGACCACTACAGACAAAACAATGCACAACAAGTTTGGGTTTTGTATGCCAGGAAATGATTCCCTTCCCACTGAAGTGTTCTTTCTCATTGTGACTTCACTTTTCTTCAGGGAAGCCGAGGAAAGAACACGAACTCAGAGGTTTGACTTTCATGGAGTAGATTTTTTTAGGCCTACTTTTTAGTTTGTGTACATTGATGATAAGAAAGTTCATACTTCCTCTACTTGGCATTCAGCTAAGTTTGAAACTGCCCCTGAAACCCAGCAAATGTGTCTGTGCTGTTCAGTTCCTGAATCAAATAACTTAGTGGTATGAATTAGAACTGTTGTCATTCTTTCAGAATGTGGATTAAATTTTATCTCATAAGCTCTCTTAAGGATTTTCTTACCTTCCTTCTCTCTCATTTGTAATCATATAACATTCTGGGTCAGTTACAACAAATGCTTATATGGAAA